ATGAACATGAAAACAGCCACGAATGAACATGTCCAAAGTTGTGCAACTGAACGCCTTATAATTCTAATATTAAGATAAGTGTCACAAATCTGTGCAGCGGGACATCTGAGAGGTCTAAAATCCCATTTATAATTTTTCAGACAATAGAAACACAAAAACATGCACAAATTACTAAAGTTTTTTACTGTTGTAACCATTAAACAATCTCCCCTTCAGTTCAACCATATAAGTGGAGACACATTGTTGATGTAATCGTTATAAAATAGCTTGCTAATAAGTATTGGCAAAGATCAATATGATGTTCACAGGTGGCGGAGCGTTGTTGTTGTTAGCAGCTGCTGAAAGTAACTAAAATAATTACTTTTAATGTAACTCAGTTACTTCAAATCAAGTAATCAGTAATCTAAGTTACTTTTTCAAGAAGTAATCAGTATTCTGATTTAAGTTACTTTTTCAAAGTAACTATGCCATCACTGCCTGTGTGTCTTCTGTGTGGAGAAAATTTGGCTGTGATGAAAGAATATAATCTCAGAAGGCACTATCAAGCTTCTCAGAAACACACAAAGACAAGAATATGAACATCATAGAGCAGCACAATAATGCATTTTCAGTTTATACTGCCTGCACTTTAATTTATGTATTTATCTTGATATTAAAAAACATATTTAGGATTTCAAAAACAATTAAATTTTTTGCTGTTTGCCTGTTGAAAATGTTTTCCTTTGAGGTTACTGACTATCATAATGAAATATTGCTTTGTTCTTTTAATCTACAGAACATGCTATTTTTCTTTGAAGGAAGATTGTTCTCGTTTGTTTGCCTGTTGAAAAATGGTTTCACTTGAAATTACTGACAGATCCATAAGAAAACATTGCTTTATTTGTTTAATTATTAAATAATATACACTGTGTTAGGTCTTGGTTCAACAGGGTTTGTGCAATCATTTTAACATATTTTAATAAACGTAGCCCCAAGCTGGCCCTCAGCTTGTAGCAAATTTAGTTTTTTGACTTTGACATCCCTGCTTTAAGGGTTACAGTTGTTTTCTGGACCAGCTGTGATAAATGTGGCATTAATGGAAGCTTAGTCAAGGTTATTTCACTAAAGCTTCACAGTATGGTTTCTGAGTCCTACACAAACACTACATTAACCTTTTGAGGTTTGGACTTGCTGTGCAGTCTGCTGGGTTATGTTGTCTTTTAAAACTATGCTCTCAGTTCATTTGTTCATTCAAAATTTGTATTTAAATTCATTAATAAATTCAAATTGTATTTTGTTCATTCAGCTCCTGAATGTTTCATTTATTTGACACCTGCAATGTTTTCTTTCAATTTAACTTTTTTGTTATATTTTACAGAATCTGGTTTGTTGTCTGATCAACATAAGAGGCTGAAAGAGAAGAAGGAATTCCCCCCCCTCAAAGTAGAGGTGACTTTTCTGGTCACAAGCTGTTAAGATTAAGTTTCAGAAAGCCTCCTACAAAGATAATGTTGTATTCTGAAATCATCAGAATAAAAGATTTCATTTTACTTAATGCTTATTTTAAGGTCCCTAACATGAGAGGCTTGGAGCCCTTTGTACAGATGAATAAATGTTGTTCTTAAATAATAAATCCTAAAGAGTTTTTGTTTTCTACTTTAATACAGGCGATGCAAAACTTCAAATTGAATAAGACCATGTGAGTGGAATTTGGAGGCTCTCTTCCTATGATCACTTGGTTTTTATCAAGAAATAGCAGACCTGTTTTGAATTATCTTACAAATCTTTGAGACATTACCTTTTATCTCTGACACATAGTCTAAATCAGGGGTGCTCAAGTCCAGTCCTCAAGAGCTACCGTCCTGCAACTATCAGATGCATCCCTGCTCCAACACACCTGAATCAAATGAATGACTTGTTACCAGGCCTGTTCATAGCTGAGCCTGGTCTACTGGAGTAAGGCTGCAACTAAAAGTTGCAGGACGGTAGCTCTCGAGGACTGGACTTGAGCACCCCTGGTCTAAATGGTATTTAAAACATTTTCCTTTGATGTATTAGGAAAGGAGTCATTTGTTTGGCAAAACTAGTTGGATGTATCACAAAATAATTAATCCTGGTGAATTTCTTTTTCTTCTGGAGATTTCAAATGATGTGAAGGTGTCATCTATGAATAGATTATTTAAAAGATCAAAACACAATTATGCCACACCTGAAATCGTGCATGAAATTGGGAGGATCAAAAGACATTATTGTGTGGCATATTAATATTTATTCACAAATACAAACCCAATTTAATCTTCTTGTGTTTTCATCATAAGTGGTATAATTTTTTATTTTTATTTTGAAAGGTTCCCATCATTTTTTCTTAACATTTTAAAATACTTTATGTTGGAATGCAGTGCACTCATGCCAGTGTGCATCTGGTGAATCAGAACGCTCCTTTCCTAAGGCCTTTTGCACCTCTCAAGTCCTTGTAGAGCAGACAGAGGCCAGACTGCTAAATGTTTACAAGCTGTCTGTCAAAAAAAGGCAGACCACAAAGCAGACAGAGGAGGAGAGGGATGGGTGGAGAAAGAGGTAGTAAAACGTGGAGGGTGTGTGTGTGTGTGTGTGTGTGTGTGTGTGTGTGTGTGTGTGTGTGTGTGTGTGTGTGTGTGTGTGTGTGTGTGTGTGTGTGTGTGTGTGTGTGTGTGTGTGTGTGTATGCGTGTTGGTAAGGGAGGTATTTTGGACATGAACTTGAGACAGAAAACGAGACCCCGTCCTGCATTCCTTCTCCTAGACATAAACTGTGCCGTGGGGAGATGTGGATGTGTGTCACTGAGTGTGTTCTTAAGTCCACCCCTGCTATCATATCAAATGTCAAGAATAGAATAGAATAGAATAGAATAGAAAATATGTTTTGCTCTTAGAACAAAAAATTGCATAACTAAAACTATGTTTGTTTTTTTCTAAATGTGTTGGTTTTTAATTCATTACATATACTTTATTTTGTAAAGTTTAACATCTTTCCATGGTTTGGAAGTAGTAAAGGCAGATAAGAAAGAATATTGTTCTATTACAGATATTTTAAAAATGTGACCAGTAAATCATAAAAGGATTTTTTACAGGTGGTCCAAAATTAATAGTCATAAATGATTTATCTTTATTTCAATTTCTGCCCAGTATTTGAATAAATTACCTTTCGTTATACTTTTTCTTTATACTATTTAAATGTAAAAAATTCCCTGAATCAATTTGCAGAATTTGAATTCTAGAAGGTAGTTGAAATACAAACTTGGCAATGAAAATTTTGCTTCAGTTAGAAACCCCTTTCATCAATGATTCATTAATGATTAATGATTCATTAATCCTTTAATGAATCATGTTTTGTTTCCCTTTATGCTATGGCATTTTGTTAATTCATTGGAGAATACAATGCATTTTAGCATATGATTTTTGTATGGGCAATTTAGAAAACATAATTGCAACATTTAAGAAAAGTTTTTTTTTTTTATAGCAATTGTAGAATCAGTCAATTGAGCCCATCTCACAATTACATAAAGAGTTTAATTTAATTTTAAGTAGCCTTGATTTACAATAGTTGGCTAAATGACAACCCATGTTCAGAAAACATTACAAATGCTACTACAAGTGGTTGTGGTAACTGTGACAAAAGAGGAGTTGGCTAAAATATAAGATGCAAAAAATCCGACTTGACACAGTTTGATTCAGTCCACATGAAACATAAAACTGAGCTGATCTCGTGAGTGTGATGTGGTGGGACCACAGCAGCCTCCTGCTCGTCCACCTCCACCCCAGCCTCCTCCAGTTATTTAGAGCAAAGGGGACAGGGAGCTTTATGAGAGGCTGGGCTTCCGTGAGGAATAGCAGCTTTAAAAAAGGACAGAGACGGAGCAGTAAACACAGTCAACACGCAAGCTGAACCGTTTGTCAAGTTCATTGTTAATATAAAGCACACACATACACACACACACATACAGAGAGAACGAGAGACAGAGAAAAAGATTTTAACCGTACTCAGCTAAAACTGCAGCTTCGGACTAAGTTCCCTTCCAAATTAATTAGGAAACTTTCGTTTTACTATATACCAAATCTTAGTATTCAGCTTTGTGTCACTGTCAATTATAATGATTTTTAGACCAAAACAGCAAGAATATTTTTTCAATCAAAGAAATATTCCCAGTTTTACTTCTTAGGGTTCTAGTTAGACATCAAAACATAAACGCCATAGGCTACAGGCTATTTTATCGGAAAACAATTATTTTTATTTTAAATAAAAAGACTTTTCACACTACCAATAAAAACTAATTTACGTTTTTTATTTTATTTTATTTTTTTATTTTTAGACTGGGCATACCATTTTCATTTAACCAGACCAGTTATAAATAGTTTTGGTCGTTCCTCCGGTGCATAATATTGCAAAGGAAGCGGTCGTGTGGAAATTAGTAATGTGGAGCTTTTTGCGTTTGGCTGTAAAAAACAAGTTCGGAAATTTAGTTCACAACTTTGATGCAAATACAAAAGAATGAAACGTTTCCATGAAATTAATTAGTGATAAACATCTCAGAAAGTACTGATGACGGTAGACACACACACGCGGGCACACGCACACACACGTGTGTTTGTGCATTATTATTATATTATTATTATTATTATTATTATTATTATTATTATTATTATTATTATTATTATTATTATTATTATTATTATTATATTATATATTGTTTAATATATAACTAGAAGAAAGGCGAAATTTGGAAGGTTGATTCAACAACAGCAGAACTTTAATGTATTATGGTGCTAGACCTTTCATTGATTTATAAACCAACAGTATTTCAAAATCTGTTCTCTGAGCCAGAAGAAGGATTTTAAAACTGAGTCGCTCTACCTTTGTGGTTTTTGTGAGAACACCAGTAACAGTATTTCAGATCATGATTATTCAATAGAAAAGCGCTATTTGTATTACTTTATCTAGGTAGACCTGAGTGATGACACTTGAGGTTGCAGGAATTTATTAGGTGTTAAAGTATGTTGCGATAACTGCTTTACTGTATTAGCAATGTAAAAGTCATACTACTACTGTCATACACTAGCTATATCTGAGCACTGACCACACAAACAGCTGTGAAAAACAAACATCGACAGGGAGTCACTTGAAAACAAGCAGAAAGCGACAGAATTTACAAAGCGCCTCCAAGAAGGTTCATCTCAAGGCTTTGAGTACATTTTTTTTTGTAGCTTTTCAATTTTCTATTGAGTAGGCCTACATGAGTCCCTCACAGTCCCCGTTCCGGTTGCCAATTTACGTCATTTTATTCTCATGTTTTCACTTGTATATTTTAGGTTCATCCCAATTCTCTCTGTTCTGTAATATGATAAACACTGAAGTCCGCAATAAAATCCGCAGAGCTGTGTGCTACTGCGCGCTGCTTTTCACTTTGGCAACGAACTTCTTCTCCTTCACTCGCCTGTTCTGGAACCAGATGGTTATCTGGCGCTCAGAGAGGTTAGTCACAGCCGAGATCTTCCTCCGCTTGTCCTTCGTGATGAACTTGTTGGCTGCATATTCCTTCTCCAGTTCTTTGAGCTGGAGCTTAGTGTATGGTATCCGCTTCTTTCTGCCCCGGCGGAAAGGCGAGCCTTCGTGTTGGTGCGCCACCACATCTGGTGAAAAGCATTAGAGACACAGGATTGAAGATTTAAGGACGAAGTTCCACAGATCAGGATATTTCCAAGTTGCACTGAGCATTACACAGGATTATAAACGCTGGAAATGTGCGGTGTTCATTCATGAAGAGGATATAAACCTGCATCACACAGGTTTGGATCCGTCTGGTACTCAGACAGGAACCATTTTCAACTGAACTGCGGCCTCGCTCATTTTATTATTTGTGATCAATTTTGGTTGTACTGAAGAGATAACATTTTATTTAAAATAATACAGACATGTTTGATGACACTTAATATAATGAAATTAAAAATATTTAATAATGTCCTTTTGAGAAAAGTGAGGCAGAAAAAGTATTTTTTAATTCAACAGCTGAAGTCTAGAAATCCAGAAAATAGATAGATAGATAGATAGATAGATAGATAGATAGATAGATAGATAGATAGATAGATAGATAGATAGATAGATAGATAGATAGATAGATAGATAGATAGATAGATAGATAGATAGATAGATAGATAGATAGATAGATAGATAGATAGATAGATAGATAGATAGATAGATAGATAGATAGATAGATAGATAGATAGATAGATAGATAGATAGATAGATAGATAGATAGATAGATAGATAGATAGATAGATAGATAGATAGATAGATAGATAGATAGATAGATAGATAGATAGATAGATAGATAGATAGATAGATAGATAGATAGATAGATAGATAGATAGATAGATAGATAGATCTTATGACACTAAAGAAGTCAGTTTAATGACCACGACACCAATTAATAATAATAATAATAATAATAATAATAATAATAATAATAATAATAATAATAATAATACTTATTATTATTATTATTATTATTATTATTATTATTATTATTATTATTATTATTATATTATAGGCCTAATAATAACAATTCATTACTTGTATTTTCATTTTATCAATATGTTACGATTAAATACACAGCGGCATTGGTTGTATTCAGTGTTGCTGCTTTAAAGATTAATTCCTCTGCTGAACAGTGTGGACTGCTAGGCTAGGCAAAAGCTAACACAGTAACTGAAGCGTAAAAGCTCCAGAAATTACCAGCAAGAGCAGTCTTCCAGAGGTGTCCAGCCTGCGCCTGGTCCTTGGAGCAGTACATCTGTCCTCCCCAACCGTTGGTCAGAGCCCATGGCTGGTAGCTGTCCATGGGGAGAAGGGTTTCATGGCGTGGATCTCCGCTTCCAAGAGTTTGGACAACTGATACGTCCAGGTAGCTGGCCATGGACTGGTAGGGGTTGGCATAGCCGTGGTAGAATGTGAACTCTTTGGCCCGGTGGTTTGGATACTCGTCAGGACTCACTGTAGTATCCATGTACTGAGAACTGAGTGCAGCTCCAGTCGCCTGGGTGCATGATTTAATGGAGCTTCTCCCCATCCTGCATGGATAGTAACTGTTACCAAAGTAGCTGTATGGTAACGCTGTTGGAGCTGATGAACTCTGGTGCGGCACGGCGGCTCCGGGGCAGGGTCCGGTCCCACATTGTTTTCCTGAAGATGCCGTAGTCTCACTGGAGCTCGAGGTGGAAACGTCCACTGTAGAGTAACCAGCTGAGGAATGCACCAGGTTAGAGGCGTGTCCTCCGAAAGCGGCCGCAGTAGCAGAATGGGCCATGAGGTTGCGGCACTGACTCGCCGCAGTAGCTGCAGCAAAGTTCCCGCTGCCCACCAGACCCTCCATGTTCTTGTTGAGGTCTTCTAGGTTGTTGTCATACACGAACATCACAGTCTCCGCTGGCCAGCGAGAATTTAGGACCAGGGAGGTTTTCATATGCACGTCTTTCCACACTATGGTTTCTGTTTGCAGAGCCTCCCCTCAAACTCTAAGCGCTCTTGCACTGCTACCACATTTAGAAAATAAAGGAAGACTAATCTACGGTGCTCCCGAACACGCAGATTTAATTAATTCACGTGATGAACGCGTCCATAGCCTTTCAGGAAGTGTGGTCGCTCAAAGACAAAGACTCCCTGTACCCGACCAGAACTCTGGTTTCATCTCTGCAGTAGCCTTGACGCAACAAACCCCCTGGACCAAGAAACGGACGTCCATTGGCTGAGAGCTGCTGATCACATGATTGAAGAGGAGAGAAGAGAGCGGAGCCGAATTGTTTAGAGCTGTCAATCACAGGAAAATATTTGAACAAGGCTGAGGTCTGGCACGAGCGGGACTTAAGCAGATGCGTAACGCTTTCTGCGAGCGCGATGTCATCATGTCAGTCTTTGGTTCTCGCAAACATCAATTTTAGTCTCTGTAATTCTCAATTCAAGCATGTCAAAGAAAGAAAGAAAGGAGAAAGGAAGAAAGAAAGAATTAAAGGAAGACAGTGCATAACCTAAGCAATTTAGAAGAGAATGCATCTATCAATGTCTTAGGACTATGATTGGTTAACGCTCCTTTCCTCTACTTCTTGAACGCCAGCAGATCAAGTATTCAGTTTTTTTTAAGGAATGGGAAAATTGTTAGAACATTTACAGCATTAAAAATATCTTGGGTTGAAACACAAAGATTCCATATATCTATCTATATCTGTATGTATATATACATGTATATATTAGTGTGTGGGTGCGTGTGTCACGTTCAAATATCCAAATGATCTTCTACACACACTATGCCTGTTATTTAATGTTTCAAATTAAATCTGGAGTGATTGTGTAGTCTGCAATACTTGTATTTCGTCGATAAAAAAGTAAAATAATAATAATTAATAAAAAAAGAGATCAGATAATTCATGTCCGCCACAGTTTGTTCAGGGGTTCATGGTGAACAGGACAGTTCCTCTCAATCGCTTTCTTTCTGGTGCAGTGAATGCATTTTTCGTGTAAATATGCATAGTATGATTTGGAGTGGAAAACTTGAGGGTTTCGTTGCATAGTAGTGGAGAGGTCCCAGAACAAACAAACAAACAAACAATAGCAGTTGCACATAGTGTGAGCTCTGGCGGGCCGCGTCTCCCGGAAGCATCAGTCTGTTAGCATTACAGTCTCATTCATTCTTCAATGGACCATTACGTCTCTGAATGTCTTCCTTTTGTGATTAACTAAATAAATACATAAATTTAAATGAGGTCACTGGTTGATTTCCACCAATCCTGATGTGATACGGAGTGCTCGACGTATTTTCAGCCCAAGTCTTTGAGATGTTTTCATTCATACGTTTTGCGTTTTAAATGAATATGTTTTTAGCAATCTTTTAAGGTGTGTGTGTGTGTGTGTGTGTGTGTGTGTGTGTGTGTGTGTGTGGTGTGTGTGTGTGTGTGTGTGTGTGTGTGTGTGTGTGTGTGTGTGGGTGTGTGTGTGTGTCTTTAAGTCTATCATTGGTATTTATTGTTTTTATTTAATTTTTTCTTATTTGTTTATTGCTGGGACAAAGAAATGCCTCTTTCGTGAATGAATAAAGTGCTATTTAAAATAAGTTTGTGTTTCTTGCTTCATGTTGTTCTCTGCATAAATACTCTGTGAAGTTGACGTACAATCTCTCATTATTGTTCCAATAGGATCTAAAACGTGTCACACACATGAAAGGCATGAAATCCTCTCAGAATCGGTTAAACACTGAAGCGGTATTTACGTGACATTTTTGCTCTTTTTTCCTTTGGTGAATACATGACTATAAAACACTCTATGCTGCTCAAAATGGTATGCAATGTTTTTCACCGTATAATTGCTTGTGGTCTATATAACTAAAGAGTGAAGTGTTAATTTTCGACATCAATTTTAAGGCTATTCCACTTTCTCGTGGAATAGCCCGGCCGGGTATTTGGATGTCTGTTGCCTTCATGTAAAACAAGGGAGATAATTAATCTTACCCTCGGCCTTGTTAACAGTGTGGTGATGTACTTCATGTTGAACTGATGGGTTACGGAAAATGGCAATGCACGTCTGAATTTCTGCTTTAACCGAATAGTAGTAGAGCTACTTTAATGGCCTGATGTCGGCTTGTCTGAGAGTGGCCGACCTTTGCGCGCGCACATTCAAACCACCCAGACAGCCCGTCTCCGAGCTGTGGTGTGATCAGGCTGCCCCCCGGGTCAAGGTCAGGTTTAATGCGCAGAGACAACCAGGGAGGGGGAGCTGCAAGATGGGGGACAAACAGATGCCATCTGAGCTCAAGTTCAAGGCCGCCGTACGCCGGGAGCAGTTTCTGAGTTTCAGAGCTTCAGAGGCGTACAGGGCCTCTGAAGCTTCATTGCTTCACAGCTTCACTTCTTCAGAGTTGAGTGTTGTAGCTAACACTGGCCATATACCTGCTAAAGTCATTACTACCTACGTCATAAGCCACACAGGAACGCTTCACATGAGAACTCATCTAAAAAAGTCAACGGCCCTAAAATATATTGTTCTTTAAATAAGAAAAAAAAAACAAAAACATATTATTATAATTTCTCAACTTTATAACGTCACTTCCCAGTCCAACATGTTTTTATTTCAAATCCGTGGTTCAGATGGATCAGACACTGAGGCGGGCTGCCTCAGAGAGAACTTCAACCAGATTAAACTAAAGAGTAAATATAACAGCGACTCTCAGATGAACAAGGTAAATGTTTCTAAAACGGTTCCCAGAAAGACCACAAGCCGAATCCGCTGCAATAGAAAAGCATCAATTTATTTGTAATATCTTCGTGAATGCGTTTGTTTTTCTTTTTCTTCTTTTTTTTGTGTTTGTATTTTTTTAATTCCTATTCTTTTTGTGTTTTTCTTTTTTACTCGGACATTGTGTTTCGAGAAGCTGAATAGGCTATCAGAAATCCGTGTGGTTTTTAAAGTCAACTAGTAAATTTGGGGCATCGCGTTATTAGAGTTGGAACAAGACATAATCACTGTCTGCTGGCCTCCATAGCCTGGACATTAAGAACAATTAAAAATGAGTAGTTCTGTTTTTATTTTTCTCTTAATAAAGCGGAACTTTTTCAATCTGGCTTTAAGCCTCCAGGAACAGAAGATTCACGTTTTCTTCACTGAAGCACGCAGAGGATCGTTTTTCAAAACCTCCGTCTTTGTTAATCTCTCTGCTCATTCATAAATAACGCTGATAATCATTTATTCTTTCATTCATTAAAATTATTTTACATAAGGCCAATTGTGTTGCCATAATAAATTTAGAGTTTTTATTTATTTATTTAGTGCAGTGTGATTTTTTTGTTTTGGGGCAAGTGTGAAATTTCCAAAAACAGTCTGTATAAGAGGAGAACTGTAAACTCCGCACATCAGCTGCTTCGTGTCTTTTCGTTGCAGAATTATTTCGCTCTGATATGTTTTGTCCCGGTTCTACCAGGTCCTACAGTTATCCAAATCAAACATGAAGTGTACAAAACAATTCAATTCGTTTTAAGCACTTAGCGCCATTTCCCAAGTCTCGTCAAAAATCATTCACTCACGGATTCCAACTGATCCGAGTTTCACAACTCCAATTCCAGCATGCAATTCAACATCAGGTTAATATAGAAGAGTTTTGAAAAGTAAACAGTCACACATAGGATCTCTTGCGTATTCTTAAGAAAAAAATATATAACAGGTTAACAATAAAGATATTGTGTGACTTTTAGGTTCTGTCTAATATTCAAGTTGCATCTCTTGCCCAGGCAACTCACTCAGTCATCTTTTGTTGTTCTGGATAGTTTTAGTATTTTTTACCCTCACCTTTTTTCCAAGTTTGTATTTTGTTTCTCTTTTTCACATAAAATAGCTACACAGTTTATCTGAAACAAGTGAATTCAAATTTAGAGCCAAAGGCCCCGTGACATACATCACTTTGAATTTGTAAAAAAAAATAAATAAAAAAAAGTAAGTATTGTTTTTATTTGCTTTTAAAATGCTTTCTTTTCCAAAAACTAGACCTTTAAGATGATTTAAAATGTAAATGAAATGGCTCTTGCTCGTGTTAAAAAATAGTGGACAATTAGCACAGAAGTGAAGTAAAAGCTGGAGAGGAGAGGCGTACAGGGCCTCTGACAGCTCTGCATTAAGACCGACCCAACTTCTCCGGTATAATTACACCAGTGGGACCAGCTGAGATAGTCGACTGGCATTTCCTAACAGGATTCAACTCCCTGGAATTGGGGGAGCGGCCAGAGTTCCCTTTGCTCTGCTGCCCGGGTCTTCAACTGCAAATCTGTAAGATGTTTACATGATTTATACAACATGTTCTTGCTGTATAGATGGGTGATGGAGCCCGGATGCACTTGCAAAATATCTTGTGCTTCCTGGAATTTGGGAATCGTGTTGACAGGATTTAGAGACAAAGGCGATTCTAAAATACTAAAACAGGACAAGAGTGGCGGAACAAACAAGCCAAAAAAAAAAAAAAAAGAGAGAGAGAGAGAGAGAGAAAGAAAGAAATCACCACCCGGCCCAAAGAAGTGGATGTGGCTTCACAGTTGATGTTGAATGAGGAGCCAAACCAAGTTTGAGTTTGAACATCTTTGCTCAGGCTCCGTTTGGACTGGACAGACTGGACATTCAGTCTGAGAAAAAGAAAACAACAATATTTGTTTGTTGGAGATTCAATTCATAGCTTCCTCCTTCCATCTCGTACATTTTGTATAAAACCAAAACATCTTCGAATTGTCCTGCTGGTATTTATTGGAGATGTGTCATCACATTTAGACTGGATTATATGAAGTTGTTTCTCACTGGTTCATGAGCAATAACCCATGAACGATGGCTTAATTCCATACTGAAAGAGTTAAATATCAAACAAATCACGAAATGGTAAATTACAAATTATACAGCGCTGGATGACTTTGAGCAGCAGATTGGAAAACAGCAGGGGTT